AAAAGACCTCACAGCTGATGCACAGCATCTAACCTCTCAAGTGCTTGCGAAGATCGCATGCTTTCTATACTGGAAAAAAAATCATGATTTTTCGAATGGATAAACAACAGTTCGGACGTCGAATCCGACAATTTCCACCTCAGTCTTCAGGAGGTTGACGGCAAACGTGATGACTTGCCATAAGCAGATGCTAGGAGGACTGGGGGCGGGGTAGGGCACATAACTAAAGGCTTCACTATTCATTCGAGTTGGGACACGATCGAAATCAAAACGAATAATTAAATGGCAGTGCCCTTGCAAACCCCGTAGAGGTCTCCTTTTTGGTGCATGCATCTTTACATCTAACTCAATAAGTGTATTTACAGTGGCTATTAATTATGTTGGACACGAAATATTTTAGAAGAGTCTGGGTGAACTGAGGTTATCTGATTACGTACTGACTACAAGTCTGTAGAGTCTGTGTGACGGAATGTGGTCTTTCACGTGTGACGTCTCGGGACGCACATCAGCGAACATAAGTTAGTTTTTGCCGACAGGACAATTAATCACTCATTAGCGCGCCCCCTGAGTATGACCACCGCCTCAATTGGGACGGCACCGATAACAGAAGACAAACGAGAGAATTCCTCGAAGCTTGGCGCTGGATTCCCAGCTGTAATAACAGACACGCCGATCTCAATTCACATTACGATGGTTCGCATGCACGGCTCACTGATTCATAGCCCCAACAGTCACTTATCAATACTCGGTCGAGTAGAACTGCACTGATGCGGCATTCCCCGACAAGTGGACCCTATCCGACTTTCAACACTCCTCACCCCCATCATTAACTGTGACATGCTTATCCTCCCCCTTCCATGGACGCCTATCTACTTGCCTCCCCCAACAAAACGCTCTAGTGCGACAATTCCTTTCCCCAGATTTCATTTCGTCTGATGACGAGCCTGTGTTAGCTGCTTGAAGCTCCACGATTACACCTTGATTTTCAGAAGGCCTTCTTTCTTTTCCAACATCTATATAGTTGATTTCCTAAACAAACACATGACTTGATGAATAGTTATTGCGGATTTCTGATGGAGGAATCCAAAACTCAAATGGGACAGACGGCATTTAGGTCACTGTCAGGTGTCTCGGTAATTAGGCGTCTAAGTACTTCAGCTTATTCTGCTTGAAGTTGGCAGCAAAAGAAATTTGGGAGGGATGTCAACAAAAATTGATTACGCGGTCAATGCAAACTTTGACGGAATATTTCTGATGGGATATACTTCATGGATAAAGAAGTTGTGTAAAGTTTCTTTCCTTCTCCACGCGGATACCTGGAACGCGAACGTCTTCATTCATTCGAAAATTTACTCCACCAAAGATTCTGATCAACCAGTCTTTCCGATAGACTTCTCGAAATTCGATCCTCATAACAGCTTATAATTTGGGAGATCAGCTTGGGGTTAGCTGTTTAATCGGTAACTGTGTTTATTCATACTGAAAATGGTCCTGCTAAATGTCAATCAGGGCGTTGTCTGGCATAATTTCCCATCAAGAGTCCCGGTTGCATAATCGACTATAGGACCATCTTATCACTACCTACGTCTTTGGGAAAAATTTAAATTATGGACAAGGAGAAAATCGTCAGGTATCAAGCGAACACTAATATTCCACGCCACCTCCCAACACGACAATCCGATCGTCGCTTTCAACGCTGTTCATCGCCTGCCTCACAGCGAGCTGGAAGAAAACGCAGGGATTTGCGCGTGAATTTACCTTATGGGTAAAGCAGACTTGCACTGCAT